GAAGATCGTCCAGAATGTAACAGAGATGCAGGTGACTGTGGCTCCCCAAACAGTCGCAAGGCTGGATCCCCGCTGGGAAGAGAGCATCACAGAGACAGTCGGCCATGCAGCCCAGAGCCTCCCCGAGCCCCCTACCCCCGGGGACAGGCCTCAACCTCGGAGCAGATCCAGCCCCCACCCTGCCGGAGCCAGCGGCTGGGCGCAGTCCACGGCAATCCAGGCTGTCCCAGGTGCTTCATGGAGGTGACCACTCTCCAACCCGAACACCCCTGCCTGGGGCTATGCATGGGCAGGACAGCAGGCCCCCGGGGCACTGTGATCAGCCTCATGGCCTTAACCTCGGGCCGGCAGAGAGAATCCCAGGAAGAGAGCCCCTGTGGAGCGGAAGGGGTGAAGATCCTTCCAGGTGGCGCTGCTCTCAGATTGTCCATTCTGGAGACGGGGCCAGACTGGGGCTTCTCTCCTGGGCTGCAGCCCCTGGTTATCCTGGCGAAGACTTTTTTTTTTTTTTTTTTTTTTTTTAATGAATCTACTTATTTGCGTATGGAATAAAAAGGGACGTTTTCTGGACAGTTGCCGCTGCTTTGTGATCACTGGGGCCGAGCCTCCCCTCTGGTGATGGGCTATGGTGGGCACCGTCTCCCCCCTCCTGGAGCACCCTACAGTGCTGGCAGGTGGGCAGGGCAGGCAGGAGCTGGGGTCTGTGAGCTGTACTCTCAAGCCCCCACTTTCTCCAGACAGGGAGGCCCAGCAAGACCTTAGGGGACGCCAAGGTCAGGGGGGAGAGGGGCCTAGGGTGGAAGAGGCGATTCTGCATATTCTCTGTCGCTCAGCTCTGGGGCCTTGGCGACAACCAAACGCCAGTAGTCAGGCGAAGGCAGAGCCCACTGGCCACTCACCTGGCACGAGGGGCTGCCAGCTGTGTGGCCCCCTGCGTCCACTGCCCCTTCCCTCACTGGAGTTGAGAGCCATCTCAAACATAAGGGGTTTTTTCTCTTGGCTAAGACAAAACACCGGCGCTGGGCAGCCCAGCAAGGTCAGGTGGGGAACAGGGCTCTCTGGCCTGGGCCTCATCCCCTGGACCATCTGCAGTCTCTCTTGAGCTGGGGGACTCGGACCTGTGAGCAAAGTCCCAGGTCAGGGCCCGAGTTTATGGGTTCTTAAGGAAAGCTTATTGAAAGCTTATTCCAATGGCTGGATCTCTACAGCCGGCCTGTTGCAGGGTGAAGACGGGGCCCTCCTGCATGGGGGAAGGACACTTTATTGGGTGTGCTTCTCGAGCCCAGAGAGAGAGGTCACCCGGTGCTTGAAACGGTCACTTCTGTGACAAAATTGAGCCCCCTCGGAAACCTGTCTCTGCCCCCTGGCTTTGGGACTTTGGGTGGAACAGACGCTCCCAGGCTGAGCTGCACAGCAACTGGGCCACCCTCCGGTGTCCTTGGAGTTCTCAGAGGTGGCGCCAGACAGCCCAGGAGAAGGCGCCACGGGGGTCTCCCCCAGGCAGGAGGTCCATCTGTCTGCCCCTGCCATCCAGCTCCCTGACCCGGAATCATCCCCTGCCCCAGCCCCTCCAGTCAGTTCCCAGTGCCCTGAGGCCAGGCCCTGGAAAGCTCCGGCAGCCCTCCTGGGGAAGGGGGCAGCAGTCCGTGGCCTAGGTGGTCCTTGCCCCTCTGGGCTCTAAGGTCCCCACCTTCAGGCTCCCAGTGCCCAGGGCATAACAGGGGTGGGCAACCTGAGAGACTCATGGGGCACGTCCTGCAAGCCAGCCCCGTCCTGTTGCCGCATTTGCTTCCCTTTGAGGGTTGGCTCTCCCCTCCCTGAGGGAGGGGGACCTGCCCCATGCTACGGCTTCTCCTGTAGCTTTCGCTCGACTTTGCCCGGAGGGACTTACGACCCGCTTCTCTACAGCGAGCCTGCTCTAGCTATCTCCAGAGGCCTTCGCTCCTGACCAGCGGCCACAGGGGGAAGTGAAGTGCCACTCAAGGGGCAGCACAGACCCATGCCTCCCTCCTCCCACTCTCTTCCCCACTGGGCCCTCTCTAGGCATCGGCACCCTTGGCTTAGCCTCCCCTGGGACCCTGACCCTCCCTCGCTTTGGTGGTGACCTCATGCTGTCAGCAGACGAACCATTGCCAGTCCTCAAAAGGACGTGTCCAGAAGGCCTGGGCAGAGCTGGCCGCACCGCGGAGGCCTCCGGGCCAGCGCAGGTCCCCCCGCCGGCCGCGGCCACCTGCTCTCTGCCGCTTTCCCTCCACGCACCAGGCGGGCCGTCAGGCGGTGCCGGCGCTCTGTGCTCCGCGCCGCACCCGCGCGGCGTTGCACCGCGGCGATGGGATTCGGCAACGGCCGTGGTCCCGAGCGCTCGGACCACGACTGGGATCCTTACAACCCAGGATAAAGGGGTTATCACCACGAGGCAACCGTCTTATTCGACTGTCTGTGGCCTGTGCGGGTGCGGTCTCGAGGTGGCGGCCGCAGGGCGCAGCGAAGCGCTGTGTGGCGCCGAGGTCCCCAGGCGGCTCGCCCACAGCGGCGGGTCGGTCTGCACCAACCAGAGCTCCGCGTCCGCCCGGGAGCCTCCTGGCGCCGGGGCCACAGGCGCGCGAAGGGGAGGAGCCGTGGGCGCCGTACCCTCGGACCCGTCCGCCGGCAAGCAGCGAACCCGACGGCCTGACGCTGGAGTCAGAGGGAGGAAGGGTCTAAGTGGCTGCAAACGCGGGGCGGATTCGGGGAGAAGGGCTGCGTCTTTCGATGAAGCAGTGAAAAGATGGGCTGGAGAGCGAGCGGCTTCCTTGCCGCCGGCTCCTCCGAGATCCGCCGGGTGGGAAGGAAGGCGCCAGGAGGAGGAAGGAGAGGCTGTTCCCCTGCGCAGGAAGGGTCGGGAGCTAGAAGCCTAACACTGAAATACAGAAAGTGGATCCAAACCTAGATTAGGGCAGGGGGCTCAGGGAAGCTGGCTTTACCCCATGATTACCCAGCGTCCGGAGTGTCGCACCAGGGGCAGCACAAACCAGAGAGAAGCGCGGTAGGGAACACGCAGCCCTAGAGGGCGCGCGGGGCCAGGCTGGGGATGAGCCTGGCTCCAGGCTCCGGCGCCATCACTGCGGGCCAATCTCGCCTCGCGCACGTTGGCTCCGCTCGTGGTGGGAGAGGAATGGCTTTGCTCTGTCTCTACCGCACGTGCCGTGGCCCTCCCCGGCCCGCCAACCCTAACTTCTTATGTGAGACCCGGTTCCAGCCACCCTGGGCCACCTAGGGTTTCAGGCTGCAGAGTCCCTGAGCCCAGCTGGGTCCGCCAGGCTTCGGACACCCTGGCCGACCTGCAAGGATTCCCAGCCAAGTTCATGCAGAACCAGACCTGCTAAAAGGGACAGGCCAGTCTCATTTCCCCCAGGGTTGTTCTCTGCCCGCCCCACCCCACCTGGGCACTCCGGGGTCGTGGCCGAGACAGCAGGCACCGCCCCACCCCAGCTCACGTCTGCCCGCCTTCATTCAAAGCCCTGGCGAGGGACTGACGGGCATCCCGGTAAGTGCCCTTCTGCTAGCTGGCAGTTCCCCACCCGCACCCTGCACCTGGGAAGCCCCCGCCTTTGTACTCCTGCCCACCCAGGGCCTCCTCTCCGGCTGACCCCTTCTCATCAGATACAGGTCAAGGGCTGTCAGTGGCCCCCAACCTCCTCCCACAAGCTTGGCCTGGCTTCGTGTGGTGACGGTCTCTCAGAGCCTTGGCTCTGAGCCTACCCAGAAGGCGACCCACCTGGGCTGAGAGTTGGGTCAGGTGGGTGCCAAGAGGGAGGCCAGAGGGGCTGGGCCGGCTTCTCTCTCTTTCTCCTGTCTGTAGGTGTCTCCCAAGCATCCTTCAAAGCCTTCTGGCCTCGTCTGGCAATTCTCAGCAAGGTAAACTGGGGACCGAGGGGCAGAGACTCTGGGGCAGGGACTCTGTGAAGTCACTCGGCCACCGAGGCCCCGACTCCCCCCTTCCTCCACCTGGTGCTATGGAGGTCAGGGCCCCATCGTGGAGTCACCCCTCCCAGACAGCCTGCACACTCAGGCAGTGTTTGCCCTCCATTCCCACCCGTCAGAATCACCTGGATCTTTTCCTTTGGCCGCCCTCAGTGCGCATGCCTCCTGCATCCGTTAGCTAGGAGCAAAGCCTGAACCCGGTGATCCAAGGTGGGTCCCCAAGGCGGCTCACCACACAACTGGGTACAAACCCCGCTGCCCTCTCGCAGAGAGGGACACTCCCTCATGGGTAGACTGGAAAGGGGGCCACCCTGTTCTGATAGCACCGAGCTCTGAATCTGGAACTCGGATGGACACTTGGGACAAAGGTGCAAAGACAAAGATCAAGAAGCACGAGGCAGCCTCTGGCTTCACCACCTGGAGAGCAAACAACAGCTGACTGCCTGGCCCGTGCCAGCTACTGCAGCTGTTGGCCTCAGTTTTTGTCTGTTTGTTTGTTTTATTATAAAAGTAAGAATGCTTATGATTGATTATCTGGAAATTGCAGTAAAGTCAAAACAGAAATACTTTGCATTTCTACCATCAAAAGTCAACTGCTTCTGGGCTTCCCTGGTGGCGCAGTGGTTGAGAGTCCGCCTTCCGATGCAGGGGACGCGGGTTCGTGCCCCGGTCCGGGAGGATCCCACATGCCGCGGAGCGGCTGGGCCCGTGAGCCACGGCCGCTGGGCCTGCGCGTCCGGAGCCTGTGCTCCACCATCAAAAGTCAACTGCTTCTGAGTATTATATGAAGCTGTGGATTTATTGTGAGGCGACTTAGAGCTGTATTGTTAATTTTTAAGAGTTCTTATCTTCTAATTTTTAAAAGTTAAAGATGCACTTATGTATTTACCGCTGAAATGATGTGATGTCTGCGTTTGTTCGAAAATATCTCAACCAAACCAAACAAACTAATTAATTAAATAGTAAAAGTGAAAGGGAGTAGCACAGATGAAATTGGATCGGCCAGGAGCTGATCATTGTTGAGTGGGGGCTGGGTACACGGGGCTTCATTTGAAGCCTTCATTTGAAGGCTTGTTTTATATTTGAAAACTTTCATAATAGAAATGCTTTAAAAAGTGACTGCACAGAAACGTCAGGGGTGTGTATCCCCAGCGGCTGATTCTCTGCCGGGGGCCGTTTTCGTTACAGGTTTATTTTCATCGGATCGCAGTCTGACCTCGGTTCAGTTTACATCCTGCTTGCTTCCCACCTCCCTCCGTGCTTACTTCGCAGTGCGCATTAAAGCCCGTCAATTCGGTTTCTCCAGACATGTTTCAGTCTTAAACTTCCCTCTTTCTCCACGTATCTGTCCCTGCCTCCATCCCTCCCGCACTGGTCCGGGCGCTCCTCTGGGTCCCCGACCTGAGCGCCAGCGCCCGCGATCACCTCCGCCCGGGAGGCCTCTGAGAGCCGCGGAGGACGGATCCGGGCTGCAGGATCGCTGGCGCCGCCTCCCGGCTCTCGCGGCCGGCGTCACCCACGCGGACCGCGATCTCCCACTGCTTGTGCAGCCCAGGTCCGACCCCGCTGCGGGTTTGGGAGACTGAGCCCGGCGGCCGCCCCTCTGGTCCTGGGTTCGTGTCTTCGGTTTCTCGGCACCTCCCGGACGCTCTGGGCGTCCCTGGGTCCGCAGCGCCAAGACTCGGGCTCAAGTGGGGTGGGTTGGCTAAGGCTGGGCCGGACATCCCTGGAGGGCAGATGGGGAGGGGCTCACGTGCTTGGAGCTCCATCCCGAGAGGCAGACCAGTCCGAAGCGCGCTCCGCATCCCCTGCAGAGAGGGTGAGCTCTCGGATCCTGGGGGTGTGAGGTCCCCGCCCGACGCGAGAGCCGGCAAGGTGCATGCTGGGGGCCTCTGGGGTGCGGGCGCTCCAGCCCCGAATGCGGGTCTCCCTGGGGTCTCGCCAACCCCCTGAAGGGGGACCTGGTGAAGGCTAGCCCGCACGACCGCGGCAGTGCCCCCGGGGCCCCGGCTGCGCGTTTCCTTTCTCGCTCGGATTCTCTGCTTTAGTCGGTCTCCTCTCCGTCTCTCTCCCTCCACTCTTTTCTGCTGTCTTCCCTCCATCGGAGCTCAGGATTCCGCCCGTGCGTCCGTCCCCCCTGCCGCGGTGCCCCCCTTGGCTCCGTTCCCCCCTCTCCGGGACGAGATTCCTCCCCCCTTCGAACTGGCCCAGATAGGAGTCGGGGAGGCCGGGCCCAGTGTGTTACTTGGATTGGTGTCCCCAGCTGCTCTGTGGGGACAGTTGTACTAATACTCCCCGCCGAGGCCCTACGTCGCCTCGATCCGGCTCGGGGGAGCTGGCGTCGCCGCTTCGCGTCCGGATCCCGCGCCTGCCCCTCTGGGGCCCTCGAGCCGGGCTGTCCCCTCTCCCGGCCTGAGTGTCCCCCCGGGCTGCCCGAGCTTGAAGGAGAGAAACTGGAAGTGGCGCCAGCTCCGCGGCTCCCGGGACCCGGCGGCCGGCCGGCGCGGAGCGGCCCCCTTCTCATCCCAGGCCGTGGGGCGTCGGAGAGCAAGGTCAGCGCCGCCCTAGACCCTCCGGGCCCGCGGCCCTCCGGGGTGCCCCGCCCCCTCCCGCAGTCCTTCCGGCCCCGCCCCCACCCTTCCCGCCGGAGCCCAAGCCCCCTCCCCGCCCCCAGCCCGGCTCACCTGGCGTCTCCTTGGCGTCTCGGAGTCTGGCTCGGCCTTCGGGCCTCGCCCCTCGGTTCTCACCTCGCCCCTTCCCGCTCCCTTCTCCACAGCCCGTCCCTTCCCCCTCCGGCTCCGCGCCATCCGTGTGGTCCCCGCGCCACCACCTAAGACGCCGAGCTCTAGCCCAGGGGCCGGGGCTGGGCCGGGGAGAAGGGAGGTGCCTGAGCCCGCCCGGGTCCCCGAAGGCTTCTGGGAGGAGGCGGTATTAAACCCGAAGGCTAGAGAGGAGTGAAGCTCCCGGCGCGCGCAGGTGGAGACCCGACGGTTCGCCTTGTGTCTCGGCCCTTGGTGGGAGCAGCTGGACCCCACTCTCCGCCGTCTGGCCCTCGGGTCGGGCCCCCCGTTCCACTCTTCCCTCCCGGAAAGATGGGGCGCAGAGTTAAGACTGCCGGACTGTGTGCTTCCTTCGCCCGCCGTCTGCGTGGCTCTGGGAAAGTCCTTTCCCCTTTCTGAGCTCACCTTTCCATCTGTGGAGTGGGTAGGTAGTAGTGGCGAAGGTCGCGCGGCCTATTGACAAGAGCGCGGGCTCAAGGCTTTGCTGCTGGGTGCACAGCCTTCTCTGTCCCTGCTCAGTGCTGAGTACCCCCGGGGGCACCTACCACCGAGACCCTCAGCCCACAGGTCCGTTTCCTTCGGCCTGTGCCGGGGCCGCCGCCTGCCACGGCTTGGTCCTGAGCGCAGAGTCAAATCGCTCCCACCCCCATTCGCGCGCCTAGTCAGGCTCCCACTGGGGCTCCAGGACACCTGAGGGTGCCCACACACCCTGTCCCCGCAGGCCGGTGCACGAATGCGCAACAGCCCTCCAGAACTACAGCTGCACCCCTAACCCCGCCAGCACCGTCGACAGCTCCGTCTGCCCCTCCGGGGCCCAGGCGCCCACACTCCCAGACCCATAAATCCTGACCTTTGCCTCATCCCCAGCGGAGACCCAGCGTGTCCACACGCGTGTGTCCCCCACGCCCACCACGGGCAACTGCGCCTATTCCGTTCTAACCACACAGCTGGCCTCGGAAATTTGACACCCGGAGGTGCACACAGACCTTGGCCCAGGCAGAGCCTTGGGCCAACCAGCCTTGCTCTGCTGTTTTTTTCAAGAGCTCATGGTGGATGGCCCTTGACCCTCATCCACATCACACTGAGGCTTTCTTTGAGCTGGGAGCTGGTGAAGCTCTTTCCCCGAATTGTCTCACTCACTCCATCCCCACAATAACCTGGTGGGCGGAGTGCTGTCCCCAGTTTAGGAGTGAGGATTCCGGCTCATATGTGTGATCACACCCAAGCCCAGATCACACAGAACACGTGTGCGGGAAGTCAGAGCTGTGTCCAGCTCTCTTTCCAGTGAGGAAATGACACAAGCCAGCGCGTGTGGAGAGCTCAGCCCTGCACGCGGCGGTCCTCCTGGACGGGCTACCGGAAGATGGGTGGGTGACGGCAGCTCATCAGCTCAGAAGGGAGGTGCCTCCCGTTCCGTTCCTTCCCCTCGCCGTTCCTCAGGCCTCCTCTCCCGCTTCCAGATGCACTTTCCCCACCTGAGTCCCCCCTACGTGGGGGGCGTGTTTGGGGTCAGCACCTCTGTACCCTAGGCTGCCCTTCAGGAGGCCCCACACTGCAGAGCGCCTTCCTTGGAATTTTCCAAGTCCCTCTAGAATGGCTGGGACCCTTCAAGCCTTGGTGGGGTCTGAGAGGGAAGCCCCAAGCCAATAGAGACCTGTGTGGGCGAGAAGTTTTGAGGGGCATCCTGGCCAGCTGCGGGATCGGAGAGATTAGGTCGATAGACTGATGCCGACACACTGATTCGTGATGATTCAAATTGTCTATGTAGACAGGGGGCCCTTAAAAATATTCCATTTCCCTGTGTGTGAGGGGGGTGGGGTGGGCGGGTGGTGGCGACAGCCTCTGGGCCGCCCCCCCGCAGAGAGGCTCCAGCTTCTTGAAAGAGACCCTTGCCAGTCTCAATCTCACCTCCTGTGCCCGTTTCACAGATAGATCCAGTGTGGCCCCAAGAAAGGCGGAGACAGGCTACCCAGAAGCCCGAAGCCACACCTCACTCCGGCGCCAGGGGGAGGTTCCACCGCAGCCAGGTGCCTCGGGAGCCAGAGGGGCCATTGCCCACCCCGCCCCCCAGGGTGAAGGAGAGAGGAGGGAACCGGGAGGCCCCGGTGGAAAATGGGTCTTAGAGGAAAGGCCCGCCCTGCTCTGGCGCCCTCTCTGATCTCCCGTGTTTCCCCGGGGGCTTCCCAAGGGTCTCGCCACTGGAAGTCTGATTCTCCTGCAGAGCCTGGAGAAGGGAGGTACCGGGCCCCGGGACCCCAGCCAATCATCAGAGGCTGACTGGTGTGTGTGTGTGTGTGTGTGTGTGTGTGTGTGTGTGTGTGTGTGTGTGTGTGTGTGTGTGTGTGTGTGTGTGTGTGGACTGCAGACCTCTCCCAGCCGCTGGGCCGGGGCCCGAGGTGATGGGCTCAGGGTGCGTGCTTGCCGAGACCCCGAGTGAGTCCTGCAGCCGCGCGCTAGGGGGCTGCCCAGGGCGGGAGCGAGGCCTCTCCCTCTTGCGCAGGCGTCGGCTCCTACCGCGCGCACAGGGGCTCGAGCGGGCAGCGGGGACCCGGGCCCAGGGATTGCCCGGGGCCCGCCGACCCTGGCCCAGGAGCGCAACCTCAGCCGCACGGCCCGGTTCGTTCTGCCCGAGTTCACTGCAAGCCGCTCCGGTCGCCCGCGCCCCGGTCTCTGCATCCCAGCCTCGACCTCTTGCCGCCCTCCTTCCCGGAGCCGCTCTCGGGGCTCCTGCTGCCGGAACCGCAGCGTCAGCACATCCGGGCCTAGCTCACTTTGGTTTGAGTTTTCTTAAATCGCGAAAATCCATTTCCCCACATGGGAGGGAGCTGAGCCTCGCTTGGTCAAGGGGCTGTCGGCCGGCTGTCCCCACCCCACCACCCAGCCCCGACCCCCGAGGCCCGGCATTGATTCCGCAGCTTGTGCGCCTCGCATTAGTCCTAATGGTTTCGCTGATGATTCAACTTTTTCGTTCAAAGCCGCCCCTCGGTCCTCACCCCCTCCTCTGCGTCCGCTTCTGCCGGCCGCCGGCCCCTCTGCGGCGCGCCCGCCCAGCGCTTTCTTGGCCGGTAGAGACGCGACTCCCGTAACCGGGGTCCGCCACCCTGCGTGCCTAGACGCCACTAGAGTAGTGCGCTCCCCGCGGACAGGGGGGAGGGCTGGGTGGGCGGAGGGGCTGCGGGAGTTTGGGACCCTCGGGGACCTTGCGCACCCGGAGACCTACGAAGTTAGATCCTCGACCTTCCAGACTCAGACCTCGGCAGAACTGAGGATCCTAGAAGGATCCAGAAACTGAGAAGCCCCGCGCCCTCGCAGAAGGGTCCTCCGGCGCCTCTGCTGCCCATTCTACCCGCGGGGAGGCCGAGGCCCAGGGACTGGCCCCAGGTCGGCCGTCACTTGGGGACGGAGCTGGGCCTGAGCGCAAAGCCGAGGAAGCGCTCGGCCCGGTGAAGGGGAGGCCCCGGGGACCGCCTCCGCCCTGCGCTCCCTCCTCGGCCGCCTTCCTGGGGAGCGTCCCGGCCTGCGCGAGGGGCCGATGCCCGACTGCCCGACGGCCCGACCTTCCGGGGCAAAGCCCGAAGCCCGCAAGGTCCCGCGGCCCAAGCCCTGCGCCCCGGGCGCCCAGCGCAATCGGCCCCGAAGCCTCCCGGCTGGATCACGTATTATTGCACAAGGAAAAGCTCTTCGTTTCTTGTCCGTTTCTTGTAGAAAATTCAGAAAATATAGGCAAGGAAAAAAATAATAATAAGGCACCACAAGTGCAACTAACTACCCGGAGATACTTGGAGTTTTCAATAGTTTGGGTTTTTTCCTCATTGTTTATTTATTTTTTCGACTAGGCAATACATTGGCATGACCCAAAATTCGAACGTATAACAAGCTATACTGTGGGAGGACTCCCCACCCCCCCACATCCTTTTTAAAAAATAAAGATAAATTTACCTACGGAGAAAAGTACAGATCTTAAGAGTACAATTCGATGAGTTGGGAACCAATGTACACGCTCGTGTACCATCATCCGAATCTTTTCTTTATGAAGAAAGGAAAAAATTTACGCAAATGTCTAGAGGATTTAAACTGAGAGGAGCCACTGCACCCTCTTGTTTTTCTTCTTTTAATGTGCCACAGTTACGCACACAATTTGCAACGTCCTCTAGTTCCGCAAAGAGAGTAAAGCGCCCCAAGCAGAAGAGACTCCGCATGCCAGCCCCGCCGAAGACACAGCTGCCAACCCTGCCAGCCTTTCCTCTCCCACCTGCTCATATCTCTCCGTGGCGCCCTTAGCCTACTTCCTGACTTTATTTTTTAAAAGAAATCTATCGAGTGCCTTGGCCTCCTGTCTGGAAGACGGAGAGTTACTTGTTCACAAGTCATGCTCACAAGTCAATCAAGTACTCACAGCCCTTTCCTACCCGCCTCCTCAGAACGCTGTCCCCTGGCCGACTGTGATGAAATGGGGACCCCGGGTTCGCAGTGCTGCCACCCCACAAATGCCCTTCACAGCTGGATGTGAGCTGGGATCAATTTTTTTCTTTTATACTAGTGTTTCACCTTAGCTTTCTCTATACCTGCCATTCATCTGTCTCCAAACTCCCTTCCAGAGCTCGGGTTCCCTCTGGAAGACGTAAACACCCACAGACCCCATCCCATCAGGTGGGGAGGCTGGGGGAGGTGGGACGCAGGCTGGGGCTTCTAAACAAGACCCTCCTGTTTCCAGTTCTGCCTGGATCCCGCTTTCTGAGGCCACCAATCCCTAAGGCTTTCTGCAGCTCTGCAGGCCAATCAGCTGCTCCTCTCGCCTGGCCCCCCCCCCACATTCTCCAGACC